TTGTTTTTTTCTATTCTTCCATTCGTACCGTATTGCACAAATAAGAAAAGAAAATAAATAAATAGTCATCTTTTTTCTACAAACTTATTCTACCTCAAATATTTCGTTATGAAAAATCATTTAACCCCTGGATAGGAAGGATGCACATTATTCGTGCGTTTCAAAATCAACGAGAAAGATTTTTTTTAGCTCCCGAAAGGAAAAAATAAATATTTCCTTGTTACTTTTCTTTTCTCCTTTTTCTTATTCTTTTTCCTTCACAAAATTCCATACGAAAGAAAAAAAAATCTATTAATACCAGATTATTGACCAAGCGAAAAATATCCGAAAGAATAATTTATTTGGAGAAATCATTTCCGAGACAGGTGACAACGATATTGCATACGCACGCGCATTTTACTTTCTCTAATTCAACATTAATCGTGGACCCTAAATTTCTCTCAACGCGCCGGCATTTTAACAATAGGTTTTGCCCTTTTGCTCCTTACTAGAAATAAACAGAGAACTTTCATTCTTTCTCTCTTGCACGTTCACTTTAAAAGATTAACAAGAAAGCAAGAGTCAATTTCAAAACGATTTCGAGAATCTTTCCGTCTCTCCCTCTCTCTCTCTCTCTCTCTCTCTTTCTCTCTCACTCATTTACTGCAATGTAATATCTACTCGTGCGCGCAACAGTTCATCTTTCTCCCACCGTGAAAAGTCCCGAAAAGGAAAGGATCCGTAATAGACAACGAAGAGAGAGAGAGAGAGAGAGAGAGAGAGAGAGAGAAGACGAGAGGGGAGTTACTCGACCATGAAACGTCAAACTAAACGGCGCTGGGAGTTTCAAATACGCGACTCCCATTCTTCTTCTCAGTTCCAACACACAGGGAAAAGACAGACAGTGTACAACCCCTCGAAAGACACCCTCTTCGTGACACTTACACATGCCGTTTTATCCTTATATACTTATACACAATACATTAATACAATACAAATATACTCACATATATATGAATCCCAACACATAAATAGAATGATGCAAAAAGGGCATAATGGAGGCCTTGAAGTCAGATAGGTGTACATAATGAGCCTAACAGGGGAAGTGACTCGAATGTGGAGAGGTAAGACGAGACAGTAGTGGTGGTGGTAGTTGTAGTGGTGGTGGTATTGTCGCGTAACTCGAGGAAGGGAGGATGCTACCGATAATGGTGATGGTGGTGGTGGTAGTTGGGCTTTTAGGGGAGGTGGTTGGAGGCTCCCCTCATCCACGAACGCATCTGCCCCATTATGCTGCCCTGGGGCACTCCCGAGACCATTAATCCTCGCTAAACGACAGCCATTTTGTACCTAAACTGGATTGCCGACTCACTAACTGGTTTTGAGGACGCTTAATAGACTACTCTCTTACTCTCTCTCTCTTTCTCTCTTCTATTATAGCCATCGAGCATCCTTGCTATATTTCGGTGTCGTTTATTCGCCCGCTAATGTGAAAATGAGAGAAGGGCGAAACTCTCCCCCTCCCTCTCTTACCCTCTTACCATCACACTCTCTCTCTCTCTCTCTCTCTCTCTCTCTCTCTCTCTCTTTCTCACTTACTCTTATTCTTATTATATATTACTAGTACATCTTCTCGAAAAGATGATAGAAAGAGACAAGAGTGATCTCGCGCGTGCTTCTTTTGCACGGTAGTAGTCACTTTATTCTTTGAACAGGAACGAATGTAGAATTAAGTGTAAGAAACTGATCCTCTTTTGTAATACGATGAGAGTCAACTGGTAGAAACGTTTCTCTAGAAAGGACTGATCTCTTTTTATCAAACGTCATTGTCCTTCGTTTCGTTTCGTTTCGTCATGTAGTTCACTTTTGGTGTTAAAAGATTTCTAGAAAAATTGTTGACAAAAGAAACGTATAAATAATGCGATATAAATTTGATTTGGTAGAATTTAATATCAAACATAAACGAATGATATTGTTAAAAATATATCTTCCTAGATCATGATCGAACCAATAAAAAAAGGGTTTTATTGCTTTTAGAATGATCGTTGACGTTTCGAAAAGGGATCCTTCGTCACGTAAACCTCTTGATAATTCGTTGAATAATATTTTCAATAATCGGATTGGTTAACTGTGAGAAAGAACAATCTAGGTAATCGAATGATTGTCACGTTTTGCATTTGACGTTTGTGGTTTGTCAATCCCGTGGGAGTTAAACCGTAGGCATAGTAACTGTCATAGTAAAGATTGTTAGAATCTAACTTACCTATCGGATTAGGTTAATCCTTAGTTATTGTTTGTCTATCTTATAAATAACTTTGCTTAGAATCATAGTAACGCGTTGGCGTTTGAATTTTCTTTCGTGGGATTTTCGCAGGATCTTACAATTAACGTTGCTTTTGCGATAATATAAATCGTTACTGATTATAATAGTAAATGACTTAAAACGCTAATGAATTTGTAACGTCGTTCACGTTCAATATCCATTCGGATTAGAGGTAGTCGTTTAAAAATGAATATTACGGAAATGTGATTACGTGATGAACGCGATCATCGAACGTTGGATGTATTGTTAAACGGTTCAAGCATTACCCATCGCGATCATCGCTAATGATTGAATTTATCTCGAGCTGCGAAATGATTACCGATTCACTTCAACATGACACGGGTGGGTATCGGCACGTAGCTGAGTAAGGGTTCCCCATTCATCCTCAAATCCATCGATATATTACGATCGGTAATTTTTCACTATACCGTCGCTCGGCTTTTATAATACCTAATAGTCCCAACCGATCTCGACCTTTTCCTCAAGAAAGAGAAAAGATTACGGAGCCGATCATTAATCTCGGAGTAACCTCCTTGTCAATAGCTAATTTGGCTTTATCGTTAATCAACCGTCTTAGACCTCACGTCGCCGTATTAAAAGTTGTGTGTGTGCGCGTGTGTGTGTGATAGTATTCAGCAAAGTTTACATTATGATACTGGCGCTTATTGTACTTCCTCTCAATATCAACTAACGAATCGATCGGTAACGATTCTACAAAATTAATTATCGTTCTATGCTCGACGATAATACTCACTTGATTCCAGAATACATCTGAGGATCGTGCGTATTTCTCTACCAGAAAGCTAACGCCTCTGTTTAATAAGCGTACCTAAATAGGATGATAAGATCATTGAAAATAGAAGAGAGAAGAGAAAATTAGAGAGAAATATGGAAAGGGATAGAAATTGAAGATGGAAGTTGAATGCTAAAAGCAAAACAGAGAAAGCGTGCGCGATATATATACACACACACACACACACAGAGCCAGAGATAGAGACAGAGTGGATAGAAGCAGAAACACACAGACACACATACACATATATACACCTTTCGGATTGCCAATCAATTCGCGCATCGCGCGCCCGGGAATTAGACAATTAGGAATCGTCACGTTCCCCGAACGTTAGCTCGTCGTCGGGCTGGCTCGACGTCGTCCTCGTTCCGCTCCACCCTCCACAACTCCGGGATTCCCCACCACGTTCCATACAGGAGCTTTCATCCCTTCCAATAGAGAAAGTAATGCGACTAGTAAGCAACAGCGCCCCCAATGAACACCGCAACGCCACCTGCCGATCAAAATTCCTCCTGTATCTCTCTCACTCTCTCTTAACCCTTAGAATATTCCGCTGAATCAGGATTGGTCGAATTTCTTTGGAAGGTAACGCCTTCTCTTGAAACGCCCGCCGTTCAACTGTACACCTTCCGATTGGTCGAGAGCTGAACAGCCGTACCGGTTCGACTGGTTTCGCGGGGGCGGCCCACAACCGGTGGCACCAGCACGACGACGTTCACCGCGAGTTTACTAGAGAAAAGGAGAGAGAACACGCGTGACCAAAGGAGAGAGAACGAGCTCAAGTCGGGCTCTCCGTTGCGGCTTCAACCGAGCTGGTAATCAGTGCCGTTTCCGCGCCAGCAGCGGCTACCACGCGCCCAGATTATTTTGGATTACGCATTTAACCCGTGGGGACTCGACCTGCCTAGCCGGTCTTCTTCTTTCTCCCTCTTTCTTTTTTCTGCACACTTTTTCATTTTGCTCTTGCTCTCTCTCTCTCTCTCTCTCTCTCCCTCTCTCTCTCTCTTTCTTTCTATCTTTCTCTTTTTCTTTCACATACACCACAAACACAAAAACACTACTCGTATTTTCTTCTATGCCCTGCCTGTGTTTGCCTGATAAATCCTAATCATCACAAAGGTCGTTTAACAAATCTACGCGTTTCTTCTTCTTCCTTCCTCGATACTTTTTGGATTCACCTTAGCGCCAACTTTTCGTGAGGATATCAGTGCTCGAATGTCTATTAGGAAGAAGATTGAAATCTTAACAGGGACTGTGTGACAGTGCTGATAAGAATTCCTTGCAATACATCTAACTGATATGCTCTAACTAGTTTTCCTGGATTCCTTCATAATGATTCCGCTATTTTGTATGATATAAATTTGACAAGGATCGATTACATTATAACGATTATTATACGATAACTAATTGCAAAATCGGTTAATGCAATCATTCGAATTGATAACAGTAATGATTACATTGTGGATTTTGATAAGAGACACTGTGCGTCAAAAGTTTCGGATGTTGTTATGTTCTTACACGACGAAATTGGCAAAAACAGTTCAGTGAATTGACTGACAATTGATAAAACTATTCCAAAGATAATCGTAAATTAAGGAGAATGAAAACGTCTAAGTGTTAGGACTAATTTCAAATTACAAAAGACACTGATCGATTGGTGAGTTTCACGAGTAAAGGAATCTGAACTGTCAATAAAACAACAACAATGAAGAAACCAGAATTAATAATTTGCAATTTGATATGCATCTTTCCTGGATCGTAACAAGGAATTTGATTGAGTCTTCGCAAGATAAGAAAGTGTCAAAGATCGATAAAAACAAATAAGACCGTCGGCAGGGACGCCTCGGTTTAACAAGATTGGAAAAATCTTAGAGATTGATCAAAGAAAGGGTTGAAAAATAATCGAGCTGGAGCGTAATGAGCAACAGCGAGGGTGTGGTGGCTGGCCAGGGTGCCGGAAGCGATCGTCTTTGCGAGGACGTCGACATGGCAACCCCGACGTCGGCGTCGTCAAATTTGAAGCCAAGAAACGGTAAGATCAGCTTCAGCGTGGACGCATTGCTTAGCGGCACGAAGAAGTCTGCGGCTGCTGGTGTTGGTGGTGGTGGAGGAGGTGAAAGAGGAGGTGAAAGAGGTGGAGGAGGAGGTGGAGGAGGAGGAGGAGGAGGCGGTGGTGGTAGAAATTTTAATAATAGCAGAAGAGAAAACGAGGAAAGAATGGACATTGAAAAGAATTTGGAGATGGAGGCAAGATACCGAGAGATACTGTTGGAACAACAAAGAATACACAGCAGAGAACTGTTGGCAAGGTTAAGTCCACATGGTTCCGTTTTAGCGGCGTTCGGTAATCATCATCATCATCATCATCACCATCATCATAACCATCATCAAAATCGAATACAAGAACAAGAACATCATCCGTCGGCAGGTAGACAAGAGATCCTAACCGTGAAAGATTTCTCAAGATCTAGCAGTCACGACAAATCCTCATCCCCGATCAGAATAGACCAGGAAGTTCAAAGGGATAGAGACGGAGAGGATCGTCGATTAACGACGGACTCGCCGATCGGTAGAATCACCGAATTGGCGTTGCAAAGAGAACGCGATAGGATTCAGGATGACGAGGATTCGAGAAACGATAGAATGACCAATCCCCGTTCGGTATCGCCAGTTAGTAGGCGAGAAATGTTAGACGATCGTAGCGATTCCGAGGCGAATCGTTCCCTCGAAGGTGACAGAACGACGGATCATCTTGATCTCGAGGATCAAGAGATACGAAGCGTCGGACAGTCGGAAGATCTCAACGTAATGGACTCGGATTGTGAACTCGAGAGAGATCTCGAGACCGGTCAAGAAAAAGAAGAGAAGTCGAGTCCGGTAGTGCCTCAGCCAATACACCCTGGGGTCCAAAGGCCCTCGCAGGGAGGGCCTTACCTTACCGGTGCACCCGGCGCTCCTGGATGGAATCCTGCAGGATTTCCGCATTCTCTTGCTAGCTTTGCCTGGTTACCCCCACCCCCACACCCACATAACCCTCATGGACATCTGTATACGCCTCACGGAGGACCCACGAGTCCTAACGGTGAGATTATTCATTTTTTTTATCCCATCTTTTGGGGTAGTTCTATCTCTATTCTACATTATTTAACTTTAACAAAAGTAAATCATACAAATTCTAACGATTGAAACAAAGTTAGTATAATATATTGTATTATCGTATTTGAATTACCTAATTCTCGGAGAACAACGAACCTGATATGGTATTACTCGATGGCACACAAATTACGGCACGAACGATCCACCTCGTTCTCGATCGGCCAACCTGATGGACCTCACGCGAACCCAATAAATATAACTCCAGTTCCGTTTCTTTAATCGAGCCTCTAGCAAACTACACGACCAACCCGTTACGAGGTGTAAAAGAGTTAAGTCGGTTTCTACCTTATCGTTTTAATTCCCCTTTCCTTCGAGAATTTTTATCTCACGCTTACGCACCTAAACGAATCTTGAACTGTTGATCTTAGATATTGGTAAAGAACTTAAACATTACTGAAAATATATCATTCTTGAGATTTGTGATCTTCTTTTATTTATAATTATTCGCATAATTACTCAGATAGTTAGCTTGAAAGATTATTTTCTTTAATTGAGATTAATTTTATATTCATATCTTGAAATTTATTAATATTCTTTATAATATATAATAAGAAATTATAAAGGGTTGATATATAAAATTATTTTGTTCAGTAATTTTTAGATTGACGGTCAGTTCTATAATAGGGGTGGATTTGCATTAGGGTCTCATATTGATATATGCAAAGTGTATATATTTTATTATAAGAATACTGACCATCTAAAGTAGCAACAATTTTTATATTAATCAGTATAATACTATTTAGTTATATATTTTATTATATAAATATTACCAAAAGTGGTTGGATTGAAAAGTTTTAATCTTAGACACAATGAACAATAATTTCATAAAAATTGAAATTGACTAAAAATAAAATTGTTTATTATATATATATATTTTATTTTAAAAAATATTTGAGATCGAGAAAAATATTGACCCGAATAAGAATCAAATATTAATTTTTAACACGAAACACAAAAGGAGGATCACAAAATGGAATGTTTAAGAAAGAAAGAGAGAAAGAGAAAAAGAGAGTGAGATGAGGGGGGGGGAGTCAATTCGTGCTGCAGATCGCGACAATGTCGATGATTAGGCGGAAAACGCGAGCTCCTAATGCGCCTCGCACGACATTCGCGGCACGATTCGCGGAGACCATAACGTTCGATATTAGCGTCGGTGGTCACGCAAACGTTGAGAGCATTATCGGTTCTTACCAAGTTGTATGTATAATATATATATATATATATACCTAACATGTGCCAAAGAATTTACTTATACGAGAACTCGTTCCATCGAGATCATGATTGAAAAGTCAGCAACTCGGAAGACCAGCAGCTAGCTATCTAACTACCTGCATATCTTTCTTTTCATTTATTTCATAATTATTTTATATACGAATTAAAGATCAAGAATCTTTTGGCCAATAATTTCGTTGGCACAAGATACTAAATTATAAAATAAAATAAAGAAGAAATAATCTAAGGGAAAATAAAAAGAAAAATTCTAAAAAATGGTTGAGCAATCGTACCGGTCAGATTAGAATCTGTAAAATATGTGACAGAAATTTTCATTGAAATTTGTTGAACATGATAAGTAAGTTTGTTTTTTTTCTTTTTAATTATCTTACTTATGGTTTACCATTACTTACATTAGTATTTCACGTAATCGTTAGCCTACTACAAACGATATTTTTTATTTTGTTCTTTACCTTAATAGGATTGATTCGACTATACGATATCCGTAATTTGTTGAAGTCTCACAGACTGTAACTATATTTTTTTTTTTTAAGCTTTTTTACTTATGGGATTTCTTTTAGAATATTCTCTATAAGATCCGATATACAAATAATTTACATATTATCATTAGCTGAATATTCCCATTGAAACGTTTAAACGTAGTACATTGTGGATAGAAAAAAATCGTTTGAAATATACCAAGCCTTTCCCTTCGATCAAAGCAGAGACTCGTCACGAAGTTTCACTGACTTTCTTCAATTCCTTCCACGATGCTTTGCCTATCGAGTCCCCGTCTAACTTCGAAAACACGTCGATAGAGAATCTAGGCTAGCGGAACGTACTACGTTCCTTTTCCTATTTCAACGATTCTGGAAAAGCCAACAACCAACTTTGTTTCATCGACCAAATCAATTCCTCTTATTCCAATCTCACGATTATTAGTCACATTAAATAACCTGAAATTTTACTAAATTTATATCCAAACGAACTGAACAATCCTAGAAATGTATTCAATATTATTTAACATAATCCAAAAGTTTACAAGATTTATATCAATCGAACAAATGTATTCGCATCTTCAAGGCATCTACCACACGTGTTCAGAAATTTCATTTAAATATCCTACAAAAATAAAAATACAATTTTATATAAAAAAAATTATTACAATCCAAAAAATATAAACCCTAAATAAATTATATACTATTTTCATTATTTACAATAAATAAAATGAAAAATGATATATCTTAAATAGTTCATTGAAAATCTCTTAAAGATATTCATACTATTTCCTTATTTACGTATCCCAATACAAGTTATAGTATTTCCGAAAGTGATAATGAAATGAAAAGCTTCCTATGTGTGTTAATTAACCTACATGATTAAGCATCGAATGGTATCTCCCAATCAGATATACTCGATAACATGAGTCATAGTCGCGAGGTGATAATAATAATATAATAATAATAATAATAATAATAATAATAATAATAATAATAATAATAAGATTAATAGCTATCGATTTCTCAAATATGAATCTCAGTAGAGTTAAGCGTGAGTTTGTTAAACGTGGAATTAAGATAAAGAAACATAGCAAGTTAGGTGGGGTGGTAAATCTGTCGAGCGTATGAAATAATCGTTCGTTCAATTAAAGGAACTGGTCGAAGAACCCTGGCGTGGGTTCTCTCACTCTCACTAACTCTCTCTCTCATTCTCTCTCTCTCTCTCTCTCTCTCTCTCTTTCATTCATTCTTTCTTTCTTTCTCTCGCGAATCGTTTCATGCACGAGCAAACCTTACTGGAGCCAGGCATCGATCCGGCTGTTCGAGCCAACAACGACGAACAAAGCTCCACCTTATGGCTCCGACTCTATCATCCATACCTGTTAACTTTAATTGACAGTTTACTTTAATGACAGTCACCTTATAGACGCTAACTCTGAAAAACATAGCCAGCTTCGGTGACCATTATACTCTTGGATTTAACAGTTGGTATATCTCGGCACATAAACACATAGAAAAGTGGATGTCACGATATATATTCTCTCTCTATCTTTCTCTCTCTCTATTTATCTCATTTTCTCTATCTGTTAAATGCAATCAGAAATCAGAAATTTAACTTTGAGCATTTAACTCGTTCCATTTAAAATTACATACACGATACGTGTTTGATTTACAAATAGAGGGGGAAAAATATTCAATATAGATAATAATAATTTATTTGAACACTATTATATTGAATAACGAAGACCGAATGTTTTGACATTTTATCTTTTTTCGTATACAATAAAAAATTAAAGTTTATAATCGTTGTATTTATGAAATTACACGTTACGCGTTTGATTTACAAATAGACGTGGAAATATTCTAGGCAAATAATGGATATTATTATTCTGAATAACGTATACTTAATATCCCATATAATTCTCTATCTTATATTTCTCTATCGAGAAATCAGAAATTAAAATTTAAGCTTGGTTGCATTTAATATTGTTAACACGTTTTAGCGTTTCATTTACAAATATGTAAGCAAGGAAATATACCAAATAATGTGCATATACGTATTATATTATTTTATATATATATATATATATACATATGTATATTTTGGTAAATGGGTGTATAATAGGTTGCCTCAACACTATTATCTCGAATACCGAGGACTGTGCGCAATAAATATCACCGTTAAAGCACGAGTACGTTCGCGAGTTCGCTTTTCTCGCTTCGGCATCGGACTCCTCTTACAGCTTCTACTTCTTCTGGCTGCTGGACCAGACGAGTACTGACTTTGGAAATATAAATAGACGTCGCGATTCTAACCGTACGAACGAACGAGTTCGAATGATCGTCGGAAAAACAGATATGTTTGCTGTGCCCATGATTTGTGGGCTTCCTTATTTATTAAAAAAATCTTAACGGAAAAATAATACAACGTTGATTTTCATAAATATTGTATAGAATTGAAACAAAAAATTGCAAGAAAAATTCTTAATTCCCGATACCATCGTCAGAATTATATTATTTAAAGAAAGAAGAAAAAATATATTAATTAGGATTTAAACAGAAAAATTATTGGCGCTCTATAAAAAAAAAAAAAAAACAGTAAAACAAAACGAAAAACACAAAATGATGAAAATAAAAATAAAAATTCATATTACGATATGATTGTATAGAAAAATTGTAAATTCTGATAATAACGTTGAAATGAAATAACCGAGTACCGAAACATATTTAAACGAAGACTCGTTAGCTTTCAACTTCCTTCTCTCTACCTCTCTCTATCCTTTTCTAAAGAATTGAAAACACTTTAAACAACATAAAAGCGGCATGGAGAGACACAACAAACAACGAAACGAGAGTAGTTATATTTCTAACAGAGCTATTCCGTACCTAACACGAGCAAAATTGGAGTTCGCGCGTAACGAGAAACTCGGTGGTGTGCTTCCTAGAAAGAAATTTTCTGAGCCCATTACTGAACTCTCTCTCTCTCTCTCTCTCACTCACTCTCTCTTTCTTTCTTTCTCTATTTCTTAACTCGAGTATATAAAAGTCGTTGGTTGTTGAGGTTGCTACTTGGTTGAGTAGATACGGGTGGCAAAGGTACACACGAGTTCTCGGTTGAGTGTATATTTTCTTGACGTCTCGAGAAAACGAATGAGAAAGAGGAGGAGAAAGATAAAAAAAGAACGAGAGAGGAGAAAAGAGAAGGAAGAAGATA